CTCGTACCCTAGCTGTCCGCTCTTGTTCCCCCCCCAGGTGTACACTTCTCCTTCCCTATCGTCTCCCTGTGCGTGGCCTCCGGGATCGCATGTCCAGCGTTTTCGGCGTCTCTCGGGTACTTTGACAGCTACCGAAAGGCACGCCTTCCCGCGAACCTTACCCAGGCCCAACGAGATTTCTTTGGAGGGCACACGTACGAGCGTATCGATCGGGAGGGGTGGTTCCACTGCGCATGGACGGCTTCGCACAAGGATATCGGGGACGCGACTCAGAGAACCGCAGGGGAGCTATCATCGAAGGGGCATGAGAAGGAGAAATGAGGGGGAAATTTGAAAGGGGTATTGCTGGAGCATAGGGATGTGCTTTGTACTTACGACACCTACCGCCTAAGAGATGGGGGAACGGGGAGCTCTCGCTTTGTGGGCAACCAGGCCTCGTAATACCAGCATGCGATTGGAGAAAGGAGCAAAAAATGGCAGCACAAGACGACGCCTTGAATCGTATCATGGAGGTTGTCCTGAACAGGTATGGGCCGGAATCGGGGTCGAGACACCAGAACGAGCTTGAGGGGGAGGGCAAGATTCAAATTCCGTAGTAGGGCAGGCACATGTCGACGACAGGCCCTTCCTAAATGAGCGATTCAAGCGAGGACTCAGGAGTTGACATTCTGACGGACGTCGGAAAGGGTGCAAAGAAAGAGGAGAGATCGATAGGAATATAAATGGATAGGAAGGGTCTAATTCAAACCAGGACATATTGCTTTTCCAGCTATTTCCTAATGTTTTTATCTCTTGCTCGCCTAGCTGACTTTTTGTTCTCTCTTTACCGAAAATGCTGAAATATCACATAATTTCTTCGCATCGGCCCGCCGACTTTCTTTGAGTATACCTGTGAACAGACGCCACACATTGTAATATGAATACCAATCAAGTTTTTTTCTATTTTCACAATCATCACATGATTTCCTTTCTGAAGAAGGAAAAACATAAATATTTACATTCTAGTGCGTCCTCTTCCATATGGCATGGAAAGCACTCATTTCGCAATTCAAGTTGCAGCACGACTCCCACCGGGGATCTTCGCCTTTCCGCCGCGCCGTTTTCTTCCGTTGCTGCTCTTGCAGCTCTGCATGCCACGCGACATGTCATGAATGTGGCCGCCGCTACTTTTCTCGATACAGTGGCCTTCAACCTTTTCACAAAATCGAGGTGTTCGCAGCTGATCGGAGATCGCATCCGCGTCCAGATCTTCCCGATCTACAGGTTCCTGAGCTCCTTGAGCTTGAACATTGTGCGTTACGTTTGATTCAGATGCTTTATCTATTTGATCCTGCTTCTTCTTGCAAGATGACAAGGGTCTGTCGGAGGTCGAAAAGGGGGGATATTGTTTTTGCATATTTTGCCCATGCTTTCCTTGCTTCTCCTTGCTTTGCTTTCGTTGCTTTCGCAGGATTTGCTTCTCTTTCTTCGCTTGCTCCCGTTCTTTTTCCTCTTCCGCTGCGGCCACAGCTAGAGCTTCGGCCATGGCTCGGGCTTCTTCCTCCTCTCTCAAAGTCTCCTGTTCAAGCTGTTGCTTCTGGATCACCTCAAAGGAGTCTGAACGCTCGCGCCGTCCACTGAACCACGGACAGTTGTTACCGCTGAAGCGCACTAGAGCTGCCTTACGTTCCTCCTCGGCCATGATTTCCTCGAAACTTGGGGTCGTCACACTTCTACCCTCGAACGTTGCCCCGGACAGCGTGGGGGATGAGCCATTGGCTGCATCGTCATTGCAGCCATCCATGGCGTCCGACGCTTTGCGATCGTCCTTGCAGATGCTGGACCCCACACTTGCAGATCTCGCACGGCTCATATGATCCACATTGGAGGCGCTGCCGCTGCCGTCATTCTGACGACCGCTAGCCCATCTACTGGCGGAAGAAAGTGCGGGCGCCACAGGTCGCGGAGCACTTGGAGTGAGCTTTAAATATGCGGACAAGAGCGTGCCTTCACCCGCATCCTTCCTTTCTTCTCCATGTCCTCCAACATTTGCCCCGCGGACAAGGGGCTGAAGCACTGCGTAGTTTTTTCCACTCGTGCTTGCACTGGAAGTGGTGCGCCGGCCGTAGCTTGATGG